TGTAAGCACGTGCAAGCTCCTGTACCAGCTCCTGTCCCAGCCCTCAGTGACTGCAGCAGCAAACAATAATGATGCTCCCTTCTTCTAGACTCCTGTAGGGGGTCCCACGAAAACCAGCCAGGGCATGTTTCTTTCCTTTACTTATTATTTATATTAATTCATTAACTAATTATTAATTAATTTTTTCCGCCTGATCACAGTTTTCCCTTCCTCCCTCCTCTCCTCCCAGTCTGTCCCCCCCCAATGCCCCCCCACATCCATTCCTCCTCTTCTCTCTTCAGAAAAGGGCGGGCCTCCCATGACTATTAGTCAGCCGTGGTATATCACGTTGCAGTGAGAGCAGGCACCTCTTCTCTTATTAAGGCTGGTCAAGGCAACCCAGTAGGGAACGGGTCCAAAAAGCAGGCAACAGAGTCAGGGACAGCCTCACTGTTCGGAGTCAGGGCAGGTTTCTTATCTGCTCCATGCTTCTGTTTCATGTCCTATATAACGGAGAGGTCAACAGTCTCCACCCCAAACGAAGGGGAACTGAGCCCCTTGAGGCCAGCTGAGGACTGGTGCTGAGCAGGGTGACGTGTAAACACTCAAGTTCTCAGGAGCTGGAATAAAAACTCAGGCCCACCTGGCTTCCTGCTCAGGTTGCCTTGCGCTGCTCCATCTGGGGCTGCTGGCGAATCCACAGAAGGCCAGGAGCCCTTGGGGACTCAGAATTGCTGGGGAAGTCTCCAGGCAGTGGCAGGCGGGGCCTCTACATCTGGAGCTGTAGGCTGCTGCCTGCCTGGGTGGGTCATTCTGGCAGCTCTCAGGAAGGCAGGGCTTGCGGAGGTGGCCCTGAGGCCGGGCAGCTGCTGGCCATCCCAGGAGGGCAGTGCTGTCATGGATTTGGCCAGGCAGCTCAAGCTAAAACGCTGATCTAATGTGTCCATGCTGGACTTGTCTGGGCTGTAAATCTCTACAGCAATCGTAAAGCAGATGCGATTCGAAGGGAGGTGAATCCTCTTGCTCTCCATGCTCTTGGCTTTCAGGTAGGGTGGGTGGGAGGAAGAGGCTTGGCCAGGCAGGAGGGCGAGGTCACAGTTGCAGAGGGTAGATGCCCAAAGCTAGGTTTCCACCTCCATCTCCAGTGCCTCTGGCTACCTGTGCACATGCTCACAAAGCAGAGAGCCCTTGCTGGATCTGGGGCTTCCCAAGGAGAGAGCAAAGACCATGGAGGAGGTAGCATCTGGAATCCCAAAGACAAGAAGGACCCCATAGGCTCTCACTGTGCCCTCTAGTTGGGAGGGAAGCCGGTCACTTGTTCTATGAACAAGATGATGTCAGGGCTGGCCTGTCATTATTATCCCTGAGAGCTTAGAGGAATTCCTCCCTGCCATAGTCCCAGGCTCCTAAAATCCCTTTTCTGTAGTGAACATAAAGACTTGAAGAAATCCTTTGTGTGTGTGTGTGTGTGTGTGTGTGTGTGTGTGTGTGTGTGTGTGTGTGTGTGTGTGTGTAGGGGGTGCAGGAAGCCAGCCAAGTACCAACATTCATCTCTCTCTGCTTTCTACCTGTAGATACAATGTGGCAGTCACCTCACGCTCCTGCACCAGGATTTCTCCTGCCATGATGGACTGTATCCTCTTACACTGTGACCTGAAATAGCCCCAACTCTCTCATAAGCTGCTTTCCTCAGGTATTTTGTCATAGTAATGAGAAATTTAGTCAACACATTGGATTCTAACCGCTCAGCTGGAATCCAAGGAAGGCCTACATTAGAATTCTAGGGTTCACCATGACCCAATCCTAGGGAGCCTCAGCTTCAGATTCCAGGACATGGTGGGCAGGATTTAATTAGCATAGTCAGGTTAGTGGGCAGTGACTATCCGGACCTCTAGGCTCCAATGAGTGCTCCCCCACCCCCCACCCCCCACCCCCCACCCCCGTTCTGCTCTGTGGGCTCCCTTGTTGGCTCAGGTTGTTCTGATGTAGAGAAACAGACAGTCAAGCCACCTTACAAAAGTGGCTATATTTATTACCAAGATGCCCTGGGCTAGACTTGGAGCTCACTGGCTGTGGGAGCTGGGACAGCCTGAGTGTTCCCTCATCTCTTTCTCTGTGTGTGCTACCTGCTGTGTGAAGATGTGCCCCTGTGAATGGTTTCATAAAGAGCTGAATGGCCATTAGCTAGGCAGGAAGAGGTTAGGTGGGACTTCTGGGGATAGAGAGGAGCCGGAGAGGGAGAAGAAAGCAGACTCGCCAGCCAGATGGAGAGGAAGCAGGATGGGCAGTACCGAGTAAAGATAACCAAACCACATGAAAGAATGTAGATTAAGAGATGGGTTAATTTAAGTTATAAGAGCTAATGGGACAAGCCTAAGAGATAGGCCGAGCTTCATAACTAATTAATAAGTCTCTGTGTTTTGTTTTGTTTTTTTTGTGAGCTGGATGCCCAAAGGAAAAAAAAATCTGTCTACACTCTGTCATCAGGCATCAAGACTGTAAGAAACAGACTATGAACTTCAGAAAGAAGGATGGAGGAGGTGGAAGGAAGGTGGGCAGAGTGGGTACAGTTGTCTTGTTTCTGGTCTCTTGGTCCCAAGTCTGATCTGGGAAAGAGGGCACAGGCATCTCTTTCCCCCAGTATGGATCCTGAGGGCAGGACCAGGTTCTTCTTCAGACAGGGGCATGGGTGAGTTTTGGCCTAAACGTAGTGTTTCAGACATCCTTCCAAATGGGTATTTAGCATGTCTCCACATCAGAAGGAGCAGCCAGGGCTGAGCGTCATTAGAGTGATGATCCAGAGTTGCCTCCTCTCCCTGGTCCCAGTGTTCAGGGAGAATTATGAGTCTCCAGGCACTCCCTGTCTGGTCCCCCTCTCCTCATGTGTGCTGTGGATGTAACCGGCTGTGAAGCCAGGTGCCCAGCCACACGCTACTCCGAGAACACCACCCACAGGTCCAGATTCTCCCAAGCTGATTTGCGATGGAGAGAACAGAGGTGGGGTCGGGAGCCAGCATCTGGACCCTCCCTATCGTCCAGTGCTGATTGGGAGGGGACAACAGGGAAGGGTTCTCCAGGTTGACAGCAGCCAAGCTCTCTAATACCACAGCCAGTCACACCTTGCCTGGCTCTCCTTGGTCTCCCCACTTCTCTTACATCTCTGATCATAGTCCTAAGTCTACCAGATGCCTGCTCTCTGCAAACTTGGGACCAAGAGATCAGAAACAAGATGGGCCCTCTCCATCTCTGAGTACTTCTGTCTCCCTTCTCCATTCTCTTTCTCCTCCCCTACCCCCAAATCTCACCACCAGTCTCTCAGCTCCCCTTCTTTTCTTCCTACCTCACACATTTGTTCATCCTCCCCGCACCCCCACCCCCACCCCAATCCTTTGCCGGGGACAGCTGTGAAGAATTAGGCGCTGGACAGTGGCTCCAGCCCCGAGGGTCGCAGGATGATTTACGTCACTGTGGGAGAAGGCAGCTTTTCCTCATTATTCCACGCCACAGCACATGTTTCAGGCTCTTCTTGGCGGCTTTTCACCGACTTTCTCTCCTTTCAGAGTCTCGCTTCTCACCTGACTTGGACAGTCTGCTTTTATTTTTAGAACACTCTCAGGCCTCCTGAGGCATTCCTAGCTCCCAGCCCCCAGGCTTCCTTTGGAGCCCTGGGAACAGCCTCCTCCCACCTGCACTGCTCCCCCATTCTGGTTAGGGTCATCCCCATGTTGCCTCAGACTCCCAAATGAAGAGGCTAAACCATGAAGCAAAAACAGGCCCTGGGGGTCCAGCCTTTGCCTGGCACTTTCCATTCAAGGCAACAACTCTGAGTGCCATGGTGCCATGGTCCTAGGGACTTGAGCTGCTCATGTCTCCTTAAACAATCTTCCTGCCGAGCTTCTGCCTCTCGTGTGTGAAATGGGGGATGCCCTGTTAAGGGGAGTGATTACTATGGCCAGAATGACCTTCGGAGCACTTGGCAAGTGTGGGTTGTATCATCTTTCTTCTCCCACATGAACCATGGCAGCACGCATTTGCACATCCAGCTTGTGGAGGGGGAAACTGAGGCTCAAAAGCATGCAATTGCTTTCCTTGGGGCCTCCACCACCCAGGAGGAAGACGGCAAAACAGAACCTGCCCATCCCCAAGCAGGGTTGGAATTCCATTAGTCCACATGCAGGAAGTCCCTGGTGGCTTCTGCCCCTGTCACCACCATGACATTTTCCACCATTGTGGAGGTGTACCCACATCATTCCTGGCACATGCAGGAGGAACCCAGGTGCCCTGGCAGCTCTTATTGTGGTTAAATCAGCGGGAGCTCACATTTCAGTTCCTTCTGGCTTGGAAAAGGCCATTGGAAAAAACAGCCCTGCTTACCAACCCCTCACCCCACTCCCAGCATCGTGTGTTCACAGCTCATCTGCCCTGGCAGGCTTAATGCTCCCGGGAAGCACATGTCTCAGGCTCTTCTTGGCAGTGAGGGCTGGGACAGTGTGTGGCAGTCGGGCTGTGGAAGTCTCAGAGTGTGTCTTTTCTGGGGACGAGCTCCTGTCCTGCAGGATCAGAGGGGCTGGAGTCTGAACCGGAGCGAGCACGGCACACTGGAAATTGGCGTTGTGTCTGAGGCAAAGCAGGAAAATGATCAATATCTGTAGAATTGCAGGCTAGCGAGGCCAAGGGTGCACAAGGAGTGTGGAGACTCCCAACCTACAGGTCCCTTATTGAGGATTGGAGGCAGGAGAGAGGCTCCATGCCACGGGACAGCCTGAGGAAAGCTCTGCTCTTTACGCTAGCCACAGGAAGGATGAGGAGAATGAGGCCTGGCTGGGGATGCTAGGCTAGCCAGAACTTGGCAAGTTCAAAGGATAAGAACACAAGTCCAGTTGGCTTACGCTGAAAGGAAATCCACTGATTCATGCAATTTAAGTTAACCGCGTGGCTTCAGGTAGAGCTGGCTGTTGTGGAGGGCTGTCACTCTTGCTCAGTTTTCTTTGGCTTGACTTCATGCTTAGGCAGATTCTTCCAAGGAGCTGCCCTTCAGCCCTCCAGGGCCACAGCCTGGGCTACACACCAGCCAACAGGCTGATAAAATTGATTGGATGATATTGGCTTTAACTGCACCACATATTTGTCTCTAAACTTACCCGGTTGCCAGGGGTGAGCTGGGCTGTTTTAGCCCTGCTTACATTCTTCTTCCCCAAGTGGAGGTAATATTGCAGGGTACAATGCTTGTTGTGTGATAAAAAAAAAAACTATTTCTGGGGAGATACAACACACATGTCCACTCACCCCAGATAGGAATCCCACAACAGACCAAAGTACGGATACCACCGACGTCCATCTCGGTGAATCAGCGAGTTTTATTGGGATGACTTACAGGAGTATGGGTGAGGGGTTACTTACAGGACTAGTAATGATTCAAAGACAGCTGCATTCCCAAAGCTCACCCCAGCATGAGTGACAGCTCACAAAGGAAAACCTAGAACATACCATATAGCTTGCAGGTAGCTGACAAGTTAGAGTGCCCTTTGTGGTTAGTCTAAGTTTCTTCCAGGCAGTTGGACTGGTCTCAAGGTCATCTTTGCAGTTTATCTTGTCTGAGAATCTTTTTTTTTTTTTTGCAGCTTTTCTTGTCTGAAAGGGACTCTCCACCTTTACGGCTTACTCCGGCAGGGCGGGGCCTAGTGAATCTGATCAGTTTCAGGGACTTCCTGAAGCTATTTTAAGTTGCCTTACTTTCCTATTTAAGGAGCTTCCCTGAAGGATAGTGTTTTGTTCTCGGAGGAAATAGATACACAATGCTACGTGATAGAATGTGGTTGTAGTGGGGTGCCCCCCAAGGAAAGGCAGGGTACTATCAGGAAAGGGGCTAAACAAAGCCTGGGTCCTCAGCAGCATGAAAAACAAAGCTGGAAAGCCACCTGCCTGGGAGAGCTCTATATCCTCCATGACCCCATGACCATGCTGAGTACCTACCTTGGGTCAACTGTGAGTTGTGGGAACTGGGGGTGACGGGAAGACTAGAGTCAGATACCCCAGGCCTACCTCCTCCCATTCAAGTTCAGTGTATTGTTTATAAAATATGCCAAAACAAACCCATAGCCCAGTTCCCTATGCCCCAGCCTCCGTCTGCTTTCCCCATACTCCTTCAGCCTAGGTGGCTAGCTGGTGGCTGTCCCTCTTGCCTGATACCTCCCGCCACATCGCTCCTACCACTGGTCCCTCTTCCTCCTGGGCCAGCTCTACTCATCCGTACCTTCCTCCAAAGTACTCCAGGGACATGCATGCCCAACACTGTGCTTTTCCTGGCACGGGACTCGGCCTCATAACCACATAGAATGGAATGACTGGTTCACATCCTGCACACTTGCAGGGAGAAGGGACTGTCTTCCAGACCTCATGCCCTCCCATGGGCCATGCCAGGAAGGTGTGAGGACAGCTCTGTGGACGGAAGTTTTCCTTCCTCCAGCTCTTCTTTCCGTTGACCCAGATTCAAGGTAGGGGCTGACTGTCCCAGGAAAAGAGGGACCCAGAAGAGTAGAGTGAAGCCCAGAGGTGAAGCCTCTGTCCTGTGTAGTCCAAACTCAGCTCCTAGGGACAGACACACAGACACAGACGCACACAGCACAGCTTTAAGACAGCAATGGCCACAGCCTGGGGAAGATAGGTAGTGTGTGGGGTGACATCACCCAGAGCTTCCAGCAGACTGAAGCGCAGGAACAATAGCCCCTGGGCTCTGGGAGGACTCCCCACAAGTGCCAGGGATCAGTGAATCAGTGAGAGACACTCACAATATTTGAGAGATACCAAAAGAAAACAAGTGTCTGGGACTCTGGGCATAATCCTCGAAGTGGCCCCTCCAGTGGCTGTCTAGAGACAAAGTGGTGAGGGTCAAGGCAGAGGTGAGGTGTTTCGGGGCTCCTGAG